AACCACGCCACTTTATTTAATGCCACACCTTATAATCTATTTTAAAGCGCCTAGCCCACTCGATCATCCAGTCACGCGTTTTGTGGCCTAGATCTATTTGTTAAGGCCAACTCAATTTTCGTCAAGGTCGCTGAGATGTAAATAAGGTAAGGGCACGTGAGTGTTGGTTAGGATTACGGTAAGCATTAGGGCTAGGTCCAAGGGTTAGGTTTGGGATTAGCGCTAACCCTGTTTTATACATCTCGTGACCTTTGACTAAACTTGAAGTTGGCCTTATAAAATAGATCTAACCGTTTTGTGCTAGTGGTTAGTGTTGCACGTGACCCAGCCTATTTAACAGTATTTCGGGCACCTAAGTTACACTTTCTCTTGGGACCTAGCCCCAATGCTTACCCTAACCCTAACCTACAATCTCGGCAACAAAGGACCTTGACAAACATTGAACTGGTCTTAACAAATAGATTTAGCCTGCAACGACGGTATCTAGTTATATTCATGGCTTATGGGACATCCTATCGATTTGGACAATTGAAAATAGACTGGCACCCAATATACTCCCATATTCCGACGGACCCACATTGTCATGAAAAATGAAATGTAGTGAAACCGGTTTAACGCCTAACTTATCTCGGGGTTAAACATGCATTATGCAAGAGCTTGCAGGTCTTTCTTTAAACATTAACTTATCAAGACCATGATCAAATCTCGTTGGCATCAGATTTCTCCGATATTAAATAGTTTAGAAAGCTTCAGCTATATTTTGATTTGATTTAAAAATGGAGGAGCGAAACTTAGCTTCGAACAACCAGTACGGTGGTTGAAATTTTTGTCAAACCTTCGAAGGCAAATATCTTCGCTTGCAATAGAGTAATTTGAATAAAATTTTCAAATTATTCATTTTACATTATCTATTTTCGAACTATTATAGCAATAATGGCTAGCTCTTTATCTAAATCGTACATAATGTATCTTTAATTAAGACGGACATACGCTATGCAGTGGGCTATGAGTAAACGTTTGCCCGGGCAGTGGCGCTGAGGCCTGCTCTTATTTCCAATTGCAACTGTCAAGGTTTTTTTTTTACGCGCACGCCAACGTGCATACGGGACCTCGACATATCTGTCAAGGGTTCTTTTTCGTCCCATCCTGCGAGGGAGAAAGTTAATCCCGATTTTCCGGCGTGGTTTCCCCTTGTCAGTGATGCAGGACGGAGGGCCTGACAAGGACAGCTGTCTAGTCGTTCGGATGGGACGAAAAACCGAGGTCCCGTGTACAAATTGGCGTGCACGTAAAAGATCCCTTGGCAGTTGGAATTCAATATAAGAGTAGGCCGTAGCGCCGCTGCCCGGGCAAAATTTCTCTCCTAGCACACTGTATGGCGTATGCCCGTCTTCATTAGCCCAGTTTAGAAGCAGAGCAGTAGGACGTTAAACCCCATTTCATTTCATTTCGTCCCATCCTGACGACTAGACCTTGTTCCTGCACCACTGACATCGGGTAACAACTTTAGAAAAACCTGAGGCAAACTGTCTCGTCCAACACGTGGAGCGAAACCCGAGACTTCCTGGTTCGCGAGGCAGCGCCCCTAAACACTGAGTCAGCGTGGCTCCCTGCGTTGTCACGTGTAGATAGCTTATTTACGATCTCCAATCCGATTAAAATACAGATCTATTTTTCGTGTCGTTTTTTTATACGTTCGATGGCCTACACTACACGAAGATCTGACCGGTTGTAGTTGAAGGTCGCGTCAGAGGTCATACGAGCGCTTTTGACCCTATGACGTCAGACATTTGATTAATCAATCAGCGTTGATGTTTCTAATGGGTTACCAACAGTTCCGTGCACCTCACGCCCAAAACTCACCGTAACAGACCGTTTCATAGGCTAATCCCTCACATCACCCAGAACACTGGTTATTTAACAACTCTTCCAGATCCTAGTGTAGTAAAGACAAGTAAAACGAAATTTTGAACTATAAAAAACGAAACGAAATACCTGTACCATTTGCCTGATAAAGACGAGAGTATCATCGTAGAAACATCCCTTAGTATTAAAAAAACGAAACGAAATAGGATCTGTATTTTAATCAGATTGTATGATTTGCGTCATTGGCGACAAAACTGATGAAATCTGAGGTGTAATCGGGTTAAATACATGAATGATGGCTATAATAGATATGTTTACACAAAGTTCATTCATCCCATAATTAAGAGAAGAATTAATGTCATAAGTAATTAATAAATACAAACAGGAAGCTTACTGTATCATAAGGCCTGTCATTGAGTCAACTGTCGCGGTTTCGAATCCCCAGTTGTACGTGACAAGGATTAGGGTCGCCTGTCCAACCTCGTGGGTTTTCTCCGGGACGTCCGGTTTCCTCCCACTGCTAAAGACCCCGACGCGCAAAGCGAATTATTAAAATAAAATTAAACCATATGTTAGTCCCGAAATGACCTAGTTTGTGTCGAGTGGACTTTAAACCCCATCTCTCTCTCTCTCTCTCTCTCTCTCTCTCTCTCTCTCGCTTGCTGATCAGTTATTCTGATAACATGAATCAAGTATAAAAGTACAACACAACAATAAAAGTTATATTATTTAAGAGGCATTGAGTAACTGGGCAGATAAATAAACTATAAACATACTTATGGAAAACAGCTACTGATTTATTTAGGCCACGTTTCGAAGAGAGAAAACGTCCAGAAATACTCTTCGAAACGTCGCCTGATTTATTTAGGCGACGTTTCGAAGAGAGAAAACGTCGAGAGAATACTCTTCGAAACGTCGCCTAAATAAATCAGTAGCTGTTTTCCATAAGTATGTTTATAGTTTAATAAAAGTTATGTTTCCAACTGAACCAATCGCTTTTTATTGTAACAACATAGGTCTTATGGGTTCTTTTTTATAGGACTATAAATATTATCTTTTAGTTTGCGGATTGCAAAATCATCTTCTAAAACCAGGAAGAAGCCATGGCTCTCATATGTCTTGTCTGCGATATCAATTCTGTGGAAGCAGACGTTAAAGAACCAGGTAGTAGTAGTAGTAGTAGTAGTAGTTTAGTTTGCGATATCACCTTGATGGAAGCGGACGTAAAATACAACTCACACATTAGTTTACTAATTAATTTATCATTTGTACTTGATAACGATAAGAGAATACTTGTCGAAACGTCGTGGTATATGTGTATAAATCTTTTCCATATAAATTGTGGCGTGTTTTTACAAAAATAACTGTTACCTTTTTGATTTACAAGGGGGGTCGCGGTGGCTAAGTGGGTAAAACGCTAGCTCGCTAGGCTGGAGGTTGGGTGTTCGATCTCTGTATTGGCCGAGACAGTTCACTGATTACCACTCGCGGCATCGTATTCTACGCAAAATTTACTACAGAATAGTTGGGTCTGGTTTTGTGCCCATTTGCCCCCCCCCCCTCGCACTGAGCCTCCAGACTATTAGGACGCGTGAAAACAATATAATTTCAAAATTAAAAGAGTTTTAGAAAATATATATCTATAACGCCAAAGGAAAACACGAGTCATCTCTCTATATAACTGACTGATGTGACGAGTGATAACAGATACACGGCCGAATTTCTGCTCAGTAATAATTCCTTTGATAGGGTGACCCACCATAAATAAATATCTCCAAATATCTCGACAATTACGCCACAATATTTATATATATGCCAAGCCTCAAATCAGTTTCACACAATTATAGTCACTAAATAAACGATCATGTTGTACTTAATAAGCTATGACCATTAATCATCTATAAATAATAGACTGAAAACTGGTTCCAAGTTGCGTCCATAACATCCAGACACTTTTGAGTAAAAGATAGGTTACGTTTTGAAATTAGTCTCGCTTAACCAGTCTATCGACCATTCTACGTCTGATTGACAGGTCGGGATAATCAAGACTACTTTTTTACGAAACATAACAGAAAGCTAGAACAAGAAATTGAATTTAGAAATAAGCACTTTAGACAACTCAACAATTGTTTTAAGAAACTTGTAAAAGTAAAATGAAACTACTGCTAGTATCATGTTCCTGCTAAAGAAAGTGATTCAGAGATAGTATTTGTACTAAACCAAAAGATGCCGCTCTTAACGGTACAGTTAATGATAAAGCAATTTAAAAAATAAAACAAACGTAATTACTAAAGCTGCTGTAATAACCAAGAAGCTAAATTTTACTGCTATTCAAAATCGTCAACAATAGATTTTTTACGGCTGTAATAGTTGATATATTTGTAGAGAATTGCACGTGCCATGGCTATTTATCGACTCAAAGCGAGTGCGGGGTAGTCAGAAATCAGTTCGAGACACGCAACTGAAGCGTGCACATTTAGCCGTGTCGAGACCAACTTTCTGTAAAGTGCACGGGTCATCCTACCTTTGAAGACCAACAGCTGTTTTATGGGACTGTAAGAGGATACCTGACAATTCAATAAAGTAATTGAATGTCATTAGATAAAAGAACACGAGAAAAATAGAAATAGTCCGTACATTCCCTTGTTTATATTCATTCTATACCTTATAAAAACATGGTAATGCACGGACTTTTTCTGTTTTTCTTCCGTGTTCACTTATCTAGTGGCAGTCAATTCTTTTTATGAATTGTCAGATATCCTCTCAAAATCTCACACAACAACTTTTGGTCTTGGAAGGAATTATTAGTGAGCAGAAATTCGCCCGTATATCCGTTATCACTCGCCACATCAGTCAGTTATATAGAGAGATGACTCGTGTTTTCCTTTGGCGTTCGTCACTTCCGATTCAGGAAACCTGTATTACCCAGCTATCGTAGCAATGATCTCTGTGTTAAAATTATATTTGGAATGTGTTTAACTAGTTACTATACTTGTAACGTTAAACTGTGTGTTTAACGTTACAATTGATACAGTCTAAGACTCCTTACGCAAGTTCAAATAGGTTCAAACGCACAATTGTCAACACATATCATTACAGTTTGTATTGGAATAAGTATTTCTATGACAAATATTGAAGACTGGACCACTAAAATAGTTACCGAACAGTTTTTCTTTATGGTTATGCGTTCTACATTTGCATAGCGATGTTTCTTGTAATGACGTATTACACAAGCCGCCATGACACCAGCCGGTTGAAATTTCGCGTAGCAGTTGGGTTTCATCAAATCATATAATTATGCGGTAAGGCTTCACCTTTATTTCAATAGGAATTGATTTATTATATGTTAAGCTAGGTGCAGTACTGTTTTGGGTCAGTTTATGTGTAAATTAAGGGAGCTATAGGCCAGTAACCTTTTTGTAGTGATTTCACTAAAAAACTTGTGCAAAGGAACTCCTGTAGGACGAGCCACTACTGTGGCTGGAGTAAGGCGAAGACATCAGTAGTGGAACCATTTCTAGTGTTTTACCAGCTCTATCATCACATATGTGATAATGACTGGCACCAATATTGTCCTTTAACATTATATAGCTAACTCACTTTAGTCCTGCTATTGCAATTCTAGTTTTTTTTTTAATATAATACCAAATATAATTTACTTCTGGGCGCAAAATGTTTCCTTATTTTGAGAAAACAAATAATTAATCAACGTTTTCCTGTTATCTCTTTTGCACGAGTCATATTTATATTTATCTAATCTGCTACTTATATGATGTAATAAGTACATCTGTATTTTTGTGACTTGTAGAAAGAGACTAAGCCGACAAGTCGACTTCTCGACGTTACGACAAAAACAACATGATCATACGACAGAGTAAAGTGTCGTGTGACTGCGTTAATACTATCGTGATGTCGTGTTGTTGCGTTATGAAAAGGGCGAGATTTAATATGGCTACTATCAGCCACCATAGAGGGGTGGCGTGCTCCAAGCGAAATATGGTCTCCCTACTGATACAGGGTGGCATTTATCCGCGAGAAAGAGGAGGGGGTTGGATAGCCGAATGGTTAGCGCGTGTGCGCTGTATCATAAGGTCTGTCATTGAGTCAACTGGCGTGGTTTCGATTCCCCGGTTGTACGTGACAAGTACTGTCGCCTGTCCAACCTCGTGGGTTTTCTGCGGGTACTCCCGTTTCCTCGCACTACTAAAGACCCCTACGCGCAAGCGAATTATTGAAATAAAATTGAACCATATGTTAGTCCCGAAATCATCTAGTTTGCGTCGAGTGGATGTTACCCCCTCCCCCTCTCTCTCTCCCTCCGCGAGAGAGATTCTATATCCGATCCATGCAGCTAACCGTGTTTATTGTGTTTGTCGCGAATGGGCGATGATACAAATATTTAAAAAGTTTGTCGTTTCAAGAAAGTCATTTTATGGTAATAGTTTACAACGGCAGCGGAAGTAGCGATGGCCCAGTAAGCTCTCGGGTTTTCACCTTGTCAGTGTTTCTAGTCGTTCGGATGAGACGAAAAACCGAGCTGTGCACGTAAAAGAATCCTAGACGGTTGGAATTTGATATAAGAAGGTCGTAGCACGGCAAAATATTTTCCTTCCCCATAGCACACTGTATGGCGTATCCCCGTCTTCATTAGCCCAGTTGGGGCTGCAAAGTAGGACGTTAAACCCCATTACTTTTCATTTCACCATTGCGCCATAAATATGGAAGCCGGAAGTCGACATGGAGAGAATTGTACATTCACTACGATATCTGGAATGGTTCCTTTAAGCCCAGGGGGCGGACCCAGAGGGGGGGGGGTGTTGGGGGGTCGCCCCCTCCCCCTGCTCAGCTAAATACTTTTTTTTTGTAAATCAACACTTTTTATGAGAAAAGTTTCTCGGCCGTGTGCTTTATCCTTTATCGTCAGATGTGGGACAGGATGGGCGCTCAAAGCACGAGATAATGATATAGACATTTTGTGATGTCACAATTAATGCTTTGCATCCATGAAATTGAATCACAATGTCATTGTATTAATTCATAATAAAAATTGACGTCAAACGAGGTGTTGAATTTCTCTGTTTAAAAAGCTCAATGTGTATGTATATACGCCAAAATTACCATAGAGACCATGCTGGAGGGGGAGGATACATTGTCTCAGGAACCTGGCAAACTCCCTCCTGCAAAAATTCCTGGATCCGCCCCTGAAGCCATTATTATTATTATTATTATTGTTCGATTTATATAGCGCTTCATTACACGTGAAGTGTTTCTAAGCGCATATCACAAACATATACTTCAAACACACAGAAACAATCAAAATCAGGAGAACATAATTAAACACAGCTGCCTGTTAGGCCCTATTATTCAAAGGTTTATATCAACAAATCAACCGGCTAATGAAAAAAGTACATACGTATAAAAAAAATTATGTATGTCCTTGAAGTATCTACTTGATGTCAAAAACGAATGATATAAAGGTCATTATCAATGAGACGTACACACGCGTTTAGATCTAATTGATAAGGCAAACTTCAAGTTTGGTCAAAGGTCACGAGATGTGAACAGGGCTAGCGCTAATCCCAACCCTAACCCTGGGCCTAGCCCTAATGCTTACCCTAACCCTAACCTACAATCTCGTCAGCAATCACGTGCCCTAACCTTATTTACATCTCAGCGACCTTGACGTGTTAGTGTTTCTCTATGTGGGGATCACCTGGCTAAGTGGGCAAGACGCTGGCTCGCTAGCCAGGAGGTCGGGTGTTCGATCCCTGCATTGGCCGAGAAAGTTCATCCAGATTTTCGGGCGTAGTTCCCCCTTGTCAGTGATGCAGGACGGAGGGCCTGACAAGGACAGCTGTCTAGTCCTTTGGATGATACGGAAAAACCAAGGTCCCGTGTATACATTGGAATGCACGTAAAAGATCCCTTGGCAGTTGGAATTCGATATAAGAATAGGCGATAGTGCCGCTGCCCGGGCAAAATTTCCCTCGTAGCACACTGTATGGCGTATGCCCGTCTTCATTAGCCCAGTATAGGAGCAAAACAGTAGGACGTTAAACCCCATTTCATTTCATTTCGTTTCTCTATGTCCAACTTGTCCGCCCTGTTGTACCCATTATGAGAGAGAGAGAGAGAGAGAGAGAGAGAGAGAGTTTAACGTCCATTCGACACAAACTAGGTCATTTCGGAACTAACATATGGTTCAATTTAATTTCGATAATTCGCTTGCGCGTAGGGGTCTTTAGCAGTGGAAGGAAACCGGAGGACCCGGAGAAAACCCACGAGGTTGGGCAGACGACCCTACTCCTTGTCACGTACCACGCCTATTGACCCAATGACAGACCTTATAATACAACGCGCACACCATTGGGGCGATTTTCACGAAATTGGAATTCAACCGTCATTAGGGTGTAACAGTGATAAATTTAAACGTTTTTTAAAATTGGATAAAAAATGTGATTTTTCGTACAATCAGGGGCCATAATCCAGGAAGTTACAGTCCGATATGCGCAAATATCAAAAGGAACCACAATCTTTTGATTATAAACATACATTTCAAGTTTCATCAAAATCGGATAAACATTGTGACTTCTAGAGTTTCCACAACCTTGGTATTATATACTTTTACACTATTTGCGTACAAGGTGCAGCCATTTTGTCCAGCAGTTTCCGTCAGATGTTTACGAAATTCGAACTCAACCTTCATCGATGTGTAACGGTGATATATTTAAACGGTTTTTAAAATTGAATACATTTGCGACTTCTAGCGCGTCACAAGCTAAAAATGCGATTTTTCGAACAATCAGGGGCCATAATCCAGGAAGTTACGTTCGGATATATGCGATTATCGAAAGGAACCAAGATCTGTGGGTTATAAACATGCATTTCAAGTTTCATCAAAATTGGATCAAAATTGTGACCCCTAGAAGGTCCACAACCTTGATATACAATAATTATATTTACACTATTTGCGTATGAGAGGCGCTCATTTTGTCCGGGGGGATCACGTGGCTAAGTGGGTAAGGCGCTGGCTCGCTAGCCTGGAGGTCGGGTGTTCGATCCCTGCATTGGCCGAGAAAGTTCATCTCGATTTTCCGGCGTGGTTTCCCCTTGTCAGTGATGCAGGAAGGAGGGTCTGACAAGTACAGCTGTCTAGTCGTTCGGATGGGACGAAAAACCGAGGTCCCGTGTACACATTGGCGTGCACGTAAAAGATCCCTTGGCAGTTGGAATTCGATATAAGAGTAGGCCGTAGCGCCGCTGCCCGGGCAAAATTTCCCTCATAGCACACTGTATGGCGTATGCCCGTCTTCAATTAGCCCAGGTTAGGTGCAGAAGAGTAGGACGTTAAACCCCATTTCATTTCATTTCATTTCATTTTGTCCGGCAGTTTTGGTCCGATTTTCATGAAATTCGACCTCAGCCAACACTACGGTGTAAGAGTGATATGTTCAAACATAATAATTGTGACCTCTGGAGGGACCACAATCAGGGTACATGGTCCATGAAGTTATGGTCCGATACATGCCAATATTGAAAGGAACCGAGATCTTTGGGAGATAGACCTATATTTCAAGTTTCGCCAAAATATGATAAAAAGTGTGACCTGTAGAGTGTACACAAACAAATTGTGAACGGACAGACAGACGGACGGTCAGACGTCCGGGTGGATAGGGGCGACGACAATATACGTCCACATGAAAATGTGGGCGTATAAAAATCATATTCTTCACGAAATACATAATCAAAAATCATATTAAGACTTTCAACCTCAAGGCAATGGCCGACTTCGAATTAGAGAGAGAGAGAGAGAGAGAGAGAGAGGGGGTTTAACGTCCACTCGACACAAACTAGGTCATTTCGGGACTAACACATGGTTCAATTTTATTTCAATAATTCGCTTGCGCGTAGGGGTCTTTAGCAGTGGGAGGAAACTGGAGGACCCGGAGCAAACCCACGAGGTTGGACATGCGACCCTACTCCTTGTCACGTACAGCCGGGGAATCGAAACCCCGCCATTTGACTCAAAAACAGACAGTGTAATAAACATTCGCCCCCCCCCCCGGCTTCCAATGAAGAGAAGGTGAAACAAGGCGTTGCACTGTTTAAAACTTCCCTTGTAACCCTAGGTCTTAAAACTCTTACAAGATGACCCCTCTCCTATATCCGGTTTTGCCACTCTGAACGGTAGACATTAAAAAAACAACTGGGAAATCCACCTCTTTTAAAAGAAAAAAAATAACAAACATTTACCAAAAGTCAACGAGCGGAGCGATAAGCGTGGATGTCAGCCCTTGAACCC